TTTCAGATCAAGTATCTCGAACAGCTCATCAAGGTATAATGTGCAATATTTTTATGAACTTTAGCCATACTGGCAAGCTTTATCAGTTGAGTTCTCAACAGATATCCAGTATTGAACAACTATTCTACTGACAAGTAATCCAGAAGGTATACAATCAGTGACAAAATACGTGGACCGGTTAGGGTGAGATTGTAACATAACCCCCTTCCCCCTGTTCAATGTTAACTCTTTCAAACTTGCTCATACCTCGTTTGGAATCTAAATTTTCCCATTCAAGAGCCCGAAGAACGTCCGCAGACCTGATCTCATATAGCTAGCACCCGCTATTATTCTCACTGGAAAAAATTTTGAAAATCCATAGAAGGTCACAGAATGGAAATTGTATGGATCTTTATTGGAAATAGAATGGATTTTGGTTATCCATAATAATTGTATATTTTCATAGTATGGATATAGTATCGAAATAGGATGGATATACTATGGTATACAAAATGATATAAAACTCATTATTTCATTTATTTTATAAAAGGTCACTAGACTGGTTTAGTCTTCACTATTTCTGGTGACCTGTGCCATAATATTTATATTAAAAAAAAAATCATATAATGTTATTTTACTTGGTGGTGCGAAAAATAAATTGTTGTTGTTGTTGTTGAATTGCAAATTTCATAGTATGGATCTAGCTGTCCGATTTTGACATTTTTGTAACTTATCCTTTAGGGGCCATTCACAAAGGATGTCCGACCAAATGATGGATTTTCAGACCCCCCCCTTGTCCGGCATTGTCAGAATTAGTGAACCCCCCCTCCCCCCGGACATCCGCCATGCCTCGCAAAAACTCACGCAACCTTGTATATGTCAAGAGTAAAAAACTTTTTTTACTTTTAGAACTTTTTATAACTATAAATGTGAATACAAAAACATAAATTACTAATTAAAACAAAATCTAGTATTAACCGCATAGTGAAAATGCCAATTTCACAATGGGAAGGAGAGTTCAAAAAAGAGAAAAAAGAAATTTGTTTTTGAATTTTTTTAAATTTCGGACATCCGGATTGCTAAAAAAAACCCTCCCCCCTATGTCCGAGTTTGTCCTCATTTTCCAACCCCC